AATAATCAATCTAACCTCATATATATATATATATATATATATATATATATATATATATATATATATATATATATATATATATATATATATATATATATATTCCTATTATTTTTCTTTACAACCCAATTAATTATGAAATAACCAATTTAATTGGAAAATAATCAATTTGCCTTCACTTAAACAATTACCAATTAAATTAGTCGATAACTTAAAATTAGTATTACTTTAATTTAATAAAAATCCTTTAAATTAGTGAATCAATTAATTAACTCAATTAAAATTTACTTTAGCCCCTTGAAATCCACTTTATGAATTAAATCCTTAGGAAATCATTTTAATTATAAAAACATCAACTCCCATTAATTGAACTAATCAATTAAATTTAATCCATTAAATTCAATAATGCTTTAAAAATTAAATTCAATTGTTGTCTTTCAATTAAGTCCAATTAAGTCAGCCCAATTAAATTAAACCCTTTAAGCGCCTTAATTCATTTAATCCTTTGGCCAACTAATTCCAATTTAACCCATTTAATTTTCCTTATTTAATCCAATTAATCCTTTAGACCAATTTTACTAGTTCAACTATCCATTTAATTCATTAAACTTCAATTTAATCAAACCGCACATATTCATTCATTTAATATATGTAGAATAAACTTATTAATAACATTATTTTACACACCAAAAGTACTAAACCTAGAACTCAATTCTTATGGCCAGAACATGTTACCAAAGAAAGCAAAAAGTCTTCTCACTCACTCCTAAATTATTGAGTACACACTCCAATAAGTCGATCTTCCCTCAACAACTGGATACATGCCATTATTTTGAACCTTTTTCACTTACACTACAAGAAATAAAAAGTACGCTAATGTTTATTAAATGAAGTCCATGTATGTGATATATTAAAAATCATTTTTCATGCCTTTTGAAATTCATTTTCCTTTTCGGACGCATCCTACTAACTATGTATGTAATCGAAACATGCATTTGTGAAAACATCACAAAAGCACTAGGTACCTTATCTTTTCTTTTTTCATTACCATTTTCATTTCTATTTTCATTTCCTTACAATAGGGTTCTTGTAATGCTTTTGAAGGTACATAGCCATTTCTTTTCAAAACATGCCTTTTCCTTTTCCTTTTTATCAAAACTATGAAAGAAAATCCTTTTTCATGACCATGAACATGTATGCCCAATAAATCAAGTGTGCATGTAAAACCACCTTTTAAGCATAAACATATACCAAATCAATCAAAACATAAATGAACTTAGCATTAAATCAATCAAACAAAATTAGCCTTAAAATTAAGTACTTGGCCAAATATAGATCAAACAAGTCCATCAAATTTAACCAAGCACAAACCAAACAATAATCTTATTCATTCCTTTATAAACAACTTAACAAACATTAATTTATCACAAAATTCATTGAATTAGGTAAGAAACCTTGAACATCCATTTTGGCCGAATTATTCACAACACTAAACCAAGGAAAATTTCACCATTTTAACATATATAATCCGATGTTAATTCATTCTTTTAAGCCTTTAAAACAATCTTAAACATCAACAATTCCTATTGCTCCTAAACTTAGAGTTTTGGTTGAATACTTTACTGAGGGTAATCACACCATTTTTTTCATTTAAACATAATTATTTCTATTTAATCTATTATATAACCACACAATCCATCTAATTATACCAATCAATTTAAATTCAAGGATTATGGTTAAAATGATCAACAAAGGTAAACAATCCAAATTTATCAATCAAACACCCTTAAACATGTATAATCTATCTAAAGAACATAAAATCATGGAAGTCGTTATTTTCTCCAAAATACTCAACTTGGCTAAAACTTCCACCTTCAAATATCCAACTTTAATTCATCAATCCATTTTTAATTAGGTCATCAAACATGATCAATCAAACATCACAAACATTATTTCAACCACAATTTATCAAGATCAATCAATTACAACAAAACCCAATGATTGAAAAATTAATTCACAAATTCTAAAACTTAAAAACATTAACAATCAAGTATCAAATTATCTTTTTCTTTTAGTGTAGTAAGGACTACACTTATCTCACTTCATGCTTGATGAAATTCCTCCTTGATAGCTTGAAGCTTCCTCCTCCCCTTTCTTCCTTAAAGTTTTAGCCCAATCTTCAATCTTTTCTCCTTCTTTATTTGATTTCTCTAAGTATTTTTATGGTGATTTTGGGGTCAATCTAAGGTATTTTAGGTGGTTTTGGGTGGTGGGTAGGCTTAATTCTTCTTGAAATTGCTTGAATTTCTTTTGTTATTTTTTGAATCTTTGGTTGCTCATCATCCTTCTCCTTTTTCTTCTTAGTTGAATATATAGAAAAGGATTTTCTTGTGATTTTGTCAAGTGTGAGACACTTGGTTCTATCTCTTCATCCTTCATTTAATGCTTTCTCCTCCATTTGTCCTTGGTTTTTCCTTAATATTTTCCCTCATTTCTTCTTCGTTTTGCCATCATACTTAGCCTCTCTTTCTCTTTATTTTTCAGCTAAAATCTGGTACGAAATGACCAATGTCAATTGAATTAATTGGTCCCTCAACTTATCAAATTTTATATTTTTGTCCCTAAACTTTTTAATTAGTTCAATTGGATCCCTCAATTTCAATCCCTAAACCTTTAATTTTCCATATCTTAGCCCGTGGTTTAGGCTTTTCTATTTTTTATAATAATCATTTAATTTTTCTAATTATTTTAATCAAGTATCTAATTTTTTAATTATTACAATTAAACCCCTTAAGGTTATGCAATTACACCCCTAGGTTATTCAACCACAACAAGAACATTATAAACTCAAAAGTTCAAATATTAAATAATTCATTCACCTCTCATAATATTCATATATGCATTATTTTATTTTCTATGCAAGCATAAATTAACTCACATTTTAAATAAATATTCATGTATTAATTAAATAATATATATATATATATATATATATATATATATATATATATATATATATATATATATATATATATATATATATATATATATATAATGTTAAGAATATTACAACCTAGACATTTAAAAGATTGGCCATTTTGATAGGGTGACCACCTAAATATTTTTTGAAATTTGATCATCTTGGCAAGATGACCACTTCGATCTTTTAAAAATATATATATATTATTTATCTCCATAGGGTGATTGCTTGGATTTTTTTTTTTTTTTTTGAAAAGTTGGTCATCTTGATAGGGTGACTACCTGGACATTAAAAAAAAAAAAAAAAAGGCTTGTGATGTTATGTCTTAAAATGAGGAAGTTCTGTTTATTACCATACTCGAGTTTTCTTTGTTTGTGATAGTGATAGATTGTGAGTTTGTGAGGATAGTACTTCTAAGAGAAGTCTAGATCATATTTTATGAAACTCAACTCCTCGTCTCGAATTTGGAGAACCAACTCAAATCTTATGTTTTAATTGCTAATTTATTAGAGCTTCTAAAAGAGATGTTCGATTCAGCTTATTGTTGCTCCACGTGGCTCGTAGAAATGTGATTCCACCCCTTATCATTAAGTCATATTGCCCCCTAATTACGAGTCATGGCTTTTGAATCATCTCCATGCCCTTTTGCTTATTATAGATTCTACGAAAGGATTTTTGTGTGTCTTCGTCAAGTATTGACACATACTAAATTGTGCTTACCCTTAATATAGGTCTCATTGCTTGCCACAAAGTCATGTCTTGTTATTCTCATACTATCTAAATTTCATTTATTTCATCATCGAAAAACACTAAAGTTTTGCACAAACATTAGAAAAAAATTAATTCATTTTTTAGAAAAAAAAAATTAGAATGTTTTTTTATCGAAATTATATTTGTTTATTTTTTAACTTTAAAAATGTAAAATAATAATAATAATAATAATAATAATTCTGAATGGTTCCAAATTCTTTTAAAAGCTCTAGATAATCTCCATTATGGAGCTATTCATATAATAATTATTATTATTATTATTGGAATAAATGACAGAAAACTAATGAATAGATTAAATGTTAAAAAAAAAAAAGAATCATAAAGATCAAAACACAAACTAAAAATTCAAAAATTAATTTTTAAATAGATTAAAGTTGAGAAGAGATTTGATCCTTTTAATTTAAAACAAATATTGCCGTGATCAACACGCCCTGCAATCAAGCATAGCTTCTTCTTTTTTCCCACCTATAACAATTTACAAATGACAAGCACTATCAAAAGAAAAAGTTAGCCTCTTTTTATTTTGAAAATTCTTTGATGAAAAGCTAACTGTGACTAATTACATACATACATACATGTGTGTATATAATTTATTGAGTTTTCATAAATCTGAAGTAAGAAAAAACGTGTATGTAAATTATCAATAAGTATATCATGATATATGTACACCTTCCAATTAGGTAAATCATTAATGTTCATAAGAAAGATAGTGTGTTTTTTATCGTAAAATTAGTTAACCTTTTTTTTTTTTTTTTTTCCTGTTTAGATGACATGAGGAAATGTTTAATAAAAATTAAATAACTATATTATTTTGTTAAATATATTGGAGGGAATAATCTAATAATTTTAAATATGAAAGACATATTTATAATATTCAAAAAATTGCAAGGCAGAGTACAACACAGGAAGACGTAGCAATTGGTTTTAAGCCATCTGCAATTTTCTTTCTTCTCCTTTCTTATTAAATTACATAGGCAAGCAGTTATTTATGCCGAGAAGTCATTAGACTGCAAAGAGTAGTCCATTCCCTTAGAGCAAGCAAACTCCAACAAAGACTAGAGAAATTTAAATATTACAGAACATCCATAGTACTACACACAGGAAGACGTAGCAAATTAATAATATTATAGACCAATTGCAGTACAAACACAGGACAAACAGATTAACTAGCATGCCTCAGGCTATACATATCTACAAGTGGAGGGACCAACGTCTTCACTCACCAATTGATACCGGGCACAGACTTCTTTCCTTAGTCTTCAACTTTCCTCCAGATCCCAGGCCTGTCAACAGAACATGGGAAATTTTTCAAATTGAAACAACTGCTAACCTCAACATAACGTATCCACTGCATCGTCTTCTGCAAGTCACTCCAGTCTTCCTCCAAGTTTGGCAAGAATTTCAAACACAAACCCTCAAGGTAGTCCCAAGAGGAGGAATTCTCTTCAACAGGATGAGCACTTGGGTTGATCGAGCTAAGGTCTCCATTCTCAATGCAGAGGTATCGCAGAACGGAAAGCTTTGTAGGATTAATCCATTTAGGCAAAGTGTGGTGACGGTAGCGCCTCAGATACAACTCCTGAAGGCTTGGAGGAGGGTGTAGATTATCTAGCATCTCTAAGATACTTTTATCTTTACAATCTTCAGTGTTGATGGCTAGAACCCTGAGTTTTACAAGCTTTGATAAGACACCCCATTCACTTTCGATGATTTCGCTTTTGTCACTGAGGTTCATTCGAAGTACTCTTAGTTGGACCAGTTGTTGTAGCTGAAGCAGATGACAACTTTGTGTTGTTGCTTGACTTACAACCCTGAATCCTGACAATTCTTGAAGTTGAGAGAGGTTTCCGATTCCATAGGGTAGGTATTGGAGACTACAAGATCCACAATCCAGGACTATGAGATTCTTCAAATAAGAGATGGATGGATGCAGTTTAGTTAAATGACTGCATCCAGCTAATATCAAAAGTTGGAGGTTACGAAGTTTCTGGATTGAAGATGGCACTTCTTTAAGGTCAACAGCTCCACTAAGATTTAGATATGCTAGGCGTTTGAGCGAAAAATCCAGCTCAAGAGCTTCTCCATAGAAATGCTATCTAACCTGATGTGAGAGAGATCCAACACCCTGAGAGAGTCAAGCGACACCATATGAATCTTCTTAAAAGGAACTTGACCTTGACCCGTGGCCATTAAAAGCAATGCCCTGAGCTTTGAACAAGGCTTTAATGGTGTTGTGCTCATCTCACTCGTGACGCTCAACCATCGCGAATCTGGTGACAATTTCTGCTTGCCTGCTTCAAAGCTACAAAACATCTCATCTTCAGCAATCAAAGCTGTTAAATCACGTACCAAATCATGCATCTTACAGCTGTAGACTCTTCCATCATAGCCACGCCTCTCCACAACTTCAACAAGGCATCTTCCGACTAGTTCCGTCAAATACTCATATCCCAAGTCCTCTGCAGTTTTCGAGTGATCGCCCTGGATGAAGCCCTCGCCAACCCACCAATGCACTAATTGCTCAGCTTGAATCACGAAATCTTCTGGATAAATTGAAAAGCACAGAAGAAATTGCTTCAGGTGTGTAGGGAGTGCATCATAGCTCAATTGCAAAGAAGCCTTAACTGAGCTATTCTGTTCCCTAGTGGTCAATTCATGGAAGTGATCAAGAATGTCCTTCCAGTCACCCAGGTTGTGAACTTTTGGTGCAAGCAAGGCTGCTATTGTTTTAATTGCCAGGGGAAGCCCCCGCATTTCCCCACAATTTCTTGGCCTACTTTTTCAAACTGGAGATTAGGACATGTCCCCTTGGTCTCGGGAAAGGCAAAGTTGCAGAACAATGACCAGCTGTCCTTCTCATCAAGAACTTTTGGATGGTGAATGCGTGAGCTTTCAACGCCCATACGGGTTGCTACATCTTCATTTCTTGTTGTGATTAGGACACAGCTTCTCTTTCCTGTTTTCTGTATAGCAGAACATAGCTGACTCCACCAGTTTTGATCAAAGCTCCAAACATCGTCCATGACAATGAGACAGCTCAGACCTTGAAGTGATAGGGTTATACTACGCAACATTAGGCCCAGGTCAGAACCTGATGAGGGATTTTGTCCCAACTGTTCCAATATACTCCTGATTAACTTTTCCTCGCTGAAATCCTGAGAAACAGACACCCAAATCCTCTTTTCAAAGCAACCGTATACCACCTTATCGTCGAAAAATTTTTGTGCAATGGTGGTTTTACCTAAGCCCCCATCCCCACAATGCCAATTCTTTGGAATACTCCGCTCGTGCTACAAGCCCATTGTTTTAGCTTTTCAGTATCTTCTTCCAGTCCAACAATCTCAGATGGGTCAAAATCCTGGGAAGTAAATAACCTAGCTCGGTATGTGTTATCTCCCAAGGATAGAAGATGCTGTGGAGTTAAGTATAAGCTCAAGTTACTCCCCATCTTGTCCATGCGTGAATTTATGTCCTTCAATTGCTTACCCATTTGATACCGGAAGAAACATTCAGCAGGTGTGTATTTGACGCAGGACCCATGTTTCTGATATTCAAATCTCAGAATGCAATCTGTCAGTGCGTCATCAGCTTCATAAACCAGATCTCTCAGCTTGATCAAGCTTGTCTTGAGAGTCTCCTTCTTAATTTTGAGGTTATTCGTGTCAGCAAGAAAAGCTTTGATAAGGTCGAGTTGTGTCTTCAAAGCTTTTAAATGATTACTGAAGTCAATTGCAAATCCAACTTCCGCTTGAGCTTGATCCATGAGAGATTTGAACACTTGCTCTACGAGTTTTTCAATAATAACACTGTCCAACGACATCTTCTGGTTCGGATAATATCTGAAAAATTCAAATTTAAATCTTTGTTATTTTGTTTGATAATCAGAAAATGTACTAAATTCCCTACGCATAGAAATTCCTGACTTTCTATGAATAAATCCAAGGCAAAATGAAGTGAACACTATTAACGTTTCCCCTTCTGCAACCCACTCATAGCAAGTTTACAAGATGTGCTGGTTGTATAACTTATTGATATATATATATATATATATATATATATATATATGTATCCTCCATGATACAATTTTAGGAAAAAAATTAACCAACATGTTCTATAATAAGAGTAGTCTCTGTAATGTACTTGTTAAGAAGCATCGAGCAAGCAAGACACTGTGTTTTGTCCAAATTTTCAGTAGGTCGTTTTGTTAGTGTGGGTTATCAAAGTTAATAGAAAACAACCACCAAAACTTCCTTCAAACAGCCTCAAACATTACCAAAACCTTCTTGTGGGGGTTGTTTTGGTGTTGATTGGGTGGCTATTTCGTTGTTGTTTGGTATTGTCCTTGAGGCTGTTTTGGTTGTTTCTCGTATTATTTGGAGGAGGCTTTGGTTGTTGTTTTTCATTAACTTTGACACCTCCAACTAACAGAAAGATATATTTTGGACGCTTGAATAAAACACAAGTTCTTATTGGCCTGATTTTTCTTACCAGTGACTTATTGGAGACCGCTCCTATTATATAAGGATGTATTCATTAATCTCCATACAAATTTAAGAATATCGAAATAAATATAAAGAAATTAAAGGAAATAATTTAATTGCTTCTTTAATTTGTAATTGTTATGAAAAAAAATTTCTCATTTATTTAATTGATTCTCAGAAATTTTTTGTTTTAAGTTTAATTGATGATAAATCAGTACATGAATTTAAAACGTGATTCTCGTTAAGACACACTACACCAAAATAGGAAATTACAGACAGTTTTATCTCGTAAAGACAATTATATCCGTCTCTACAAAACCAAGGTACAAGGCACGAAATATTGTGAGAAATAAATGGGTTTATAGGATTAAAAAGAAGCCAGACGGTAAGTTTGATCGGCTAAAGGCTTTCATCAAAGACTAGGGATCGATTAACCAGACACGTTTAGTCCACTGATCAAACCAACGACAGTCCATCCCATTCTTTCATTGGCAGTGATCAAAGGATGCTTTTTTAAAAAAAAATTAAAAATTAAAAGGAAAACAAAAATTGCACATTCTTGAATGCAAATAAAAAAATTATATACATAATTTACACAATATTCTTAAATGTGTAATTATTATATTCTAAATACATAAAAAAAAAAAATCTTAAAACATCCATAAAACAAAAAGAAAAAATAAACTTAAATATTTAAACACTTGTTCGAAATTCTGTAGAACCAATCATGCTAAAATTTTGTCTGAGATCACTGAAGCAAATTCTACAATCGAATCATTTCAAATCAGAGTTCTTTGCAATTTTTTTCAACGAAAAACAATTTCTAAAAAACAAAATATCATAAAAGCTGAGGATAAAAATTTTATTGTTCAACCGCTCTATGTTTATAAGGATTAATAAAAGATGTTGTTTACTTAGTAGGGTCATGAGAAGCAGTTGTTCCTAATAGGATATTTTCATCTTAATTACATAAAAAGGTGCTGATAATTTTATTAAATTATTAAATTTTATCGTTAATTACGCAGGTTTCTAACACAAAAAAAAAAAAAACTGAGATTTAGCTGTTTAGTTTTGAAATTCAGTTTCTAACTTAACACAAGAAAGTACGGCTGTGTGGGGTTTGAAAAAGTTAATTAAATTCTAGAAATATATCATATTTGAGCATGAACCAAATGCAAAATATTTTTATAAATTATCCTTCCAAATCTTATCATTTGATTTCTTTGTTTTTTTCCTTTTTTTTTTTTTTAGGTTTTGGAATTTCATATATATTTTTTTATTAAACATAATTTTCCGGGATGCAATGAAATACTGAAATATGCTACAACATGTTTTTATTAGAGTTAATTGATTTGTGATACGACATAGCTTATTTCATTAATTATGAAAATTAATTAACTAAGAGCAGAATAAAATCTGTAGATCATTTTCTAAATAATATTATAGCACAATAAATATATAAAAGATCACTTACCGAAGGGTGGCAAAGCAGTCTTGACAGTTCCAATGGACAGTTGAGTCTCTGCCTGGAAGACAAACAGTTTCTGAATGATAAATAATTGATCAGGTGTGGCTTGAATTATCACAAACAGAAGGTTTAGAAGTTAAAGAAAGAAGCTAGACAAAGTATGATAATGGGCTATCAGAAGATGAACGACGGAACAGAAAAGTTACGCAGGATTGCTTTAAACATGAAAAAGTGCGTAGGAGCAATAATTCTGGTGATTCTCTTGATGACCAAAGACCTAATAAAACTTGGATAGCATCTAACTTTTCTCAAAAGAGCAAAAAAAATTAAAATAAAATTGTAGGGCCTAGCTAATGTCAGAGTTAAAATCATTATTTAACATAATATCGGAGTTTTAATAATTAATATCAGAACTCAAATTTTGATTCATATATTTCTCTTTAATATTTATTCCTTTTATTTTCTTTTTTTATTTTATTAGTACTTTCTATTTTTTAAATTTATTCTTTTTAATTTACTCATTTTTATTTTTATTTCATTTCATTTTATTTTGGTATTTACTACAAAAAAAAAAAAGAGAGAGAGAAAAGAATCAAAAATACATAAAATACAAAATAAAAAAATAATTACATTAGGGGCGTGATTGAATAAAATAGAACTGAAGTTGAAACAATTGATGATACAATTAAAATAATTAAAAGCACTAGGATTGAAATTACAAGAGATAGAGTTCCAATTGAAAAAAATTGAAAGAACCAAGGACAAAAATTGCATATCTAAAGGATATAATTGTGAACAAATGAAACACATGATGACTAAACTAACATTAGAAAGCGAATGACAAGATCAAATTTGATTGAATGACCTGTTGTTTGTTGTAGACCAAAATCAATCCCTGATCTTGATTCAACGTCTTCCCTAAGGACAAACTCCTTAATTATTCAATACTTCGATTTCTGACTAGCAATTGTACCAATAAGGAATCACGTTTCATCTGGTGTGTCCACCACAACACACCACCTGCGCCACATTTGCGCTAGACTTGCACACACACGCTACACAATTCTCATTTTTGCTCCATACAAAATTGACAAAATGCAAGAGCTTAGGGGTTTTGATGTCTAGCAGAAATGGTTCTGATCAATTGGGGAGGGAGTGATCCTAGGGTGGATAAAAGTCGAAGTTTTGGTATAAATAGGACATATGAGAATGAATATTTTTTATAAATTAAATTTAATGTTATTTAATGGATATTAAATGAATGTATGAACTAGCATATGTCAAGTATAGACTGAATAAAGATTAATATAGTAATTTTTTAATGAATAATATTGAGTAAAGTATTTTTATTTTTTTTATGGATAGGGTAAAAAATTGAATTAATGTCTACCCATTCCATTCCTAATTATAAATCTAATCAATTAAATTGTCTAATATCAAGATAATAACTTTTTGTTAAATACAACCATTCTGACCAAAAAAACAAAAACACGCCAAAAAGAAAACAATTTTTGGCTTGTTTTGTTTTCTTCTTCTTTTTTTTTTTTTTTTTTTTTTGAATTGATTTGTAATACTTAACTCTTAAATATTATAATCCAGTTAAGTTTTTGTTATCTGATTTTATATTTGATATTTTAAATATACAAATAATTAATACAGTAAAACTCACATAAGGGAGAAAATTTAAACATAATTTTGTTATATACCATTGTATTTAATAATAAAATATTATAATAGATTGTAAACAAATATATTGCTGTGCTATTGGAATTAAAATGACTATAAATTCATGAAGTTAACTTTTCATGTTCAACCGCTACCAAACACTCACAACACATGTACGTCATTCATCTTTCATCATCATGCAATCATCACGCATTGTGAAATTGATGGATTCAAGCAATGAATAAAATTTTTCCACCTCTCTGGAAATAGGTTCGTGTTGTTCGTCAGGAAATAATTAAAACCAGACTAAAAGGTTTAGATTTTTTAATTTTAATTTATTTGAAAATCATTTTTTTAACTTTCAATTTGTATTTTGTTCTCTTTGATTTTTTTTTTTTTTTTTTGGATTTAGTCTATCATATGATTTTTAACTATCATCCTCTCTTCTAAAAATTTAACTCTTGGTATTTTAATAAAATTTTTTACATACATATTAAAAAAAAATACAATCTTTTTTAAAAAAAATTCTAAATTTTTTTAAAGTCAAGAATTATATATTTTTTATTTTTTAGTATTAAAAATATAAAAATCAAGAAAAATAGAAAATAATTCAAAATGATTCTAAATTTTGTTCAGAGCTCCAGATTATTTCTATCATGGAGTTATTCATGTAATTTTTATTTTTTTGAAATAAATAAAAAATAAATCTTTAAAAAATTAAAATACTCAAAATATAATTAAAAATTCATGAAATATTTCATCTTTTTAGCTTTAAAACAAATATTGCGGAGATCAACACGGCCTACAATCAAGCCAAGCATCTTTTTTCGTCTATGGCAATTGACAGGCACTGTCAAAAGAAAAAGTTAGCACCTTCTGATTTTGAAAATTCTAACCTGAAAAGCTAACAGCGACTAATTAAACGCACACACGGCCCCGCACACTCACGCGTGCGCACAATATATATATACATAAAGACGTGTGAATATAATTTATTGAGTTTTCATAAATCTGAAGTAAGAAAAAAACATGTAAAAGAATTGAGATTAATTACTATATGTTATTAAATCAAATTAATATATCATGATATATTTTCATCAAACAAGTATATATATATAGTTTTATTAGACTGAAAGTCAAAGTTAAACATTTTTTTTCCTCAGATTTTGCCATCCATATTTTTCAGTTAGGTAAATTATTAATGTT